AGCTACTGGCCATAATAAGAAGGGCCACCACAATCATGTTTATCAAACCGCAAATGAGGAAGCAGCTAGGGGATCAGAAGAAGAATATGATGGTCCAAGCATAATTGTTGTACTATTCTTTGCTTATCTATTTTCCTCTCTGATGTTCAAACTTTACTTCATCGTTAATACATTGGATTGACCTTTTGCAGAACATCATGCCATAAAGAGTCTACCCCCAGTCGGATCCAACACAAACCCCCGACTCAATGGTTTACAAGTGCAAGAAAGGGTAATATATTCAGTGTCAAGATTATGTAGTTTTCCTTCCCACTTAAGTGTTTACATATCCACCTTTATTATTAGTATGTTAATATTATACTTCTGTGACCAGGAGAAGTTTACATATCCAACACCTAGGGAATTTGGCCCACTGCCTGAGTCTAGATTCATTGCCAATGCTAGAGACTCAATTCCTATGGTTAGATTTACAACAACCATGTCAAGGGGCAGAGTGGGAAGGAGTGCTAGTGAGCAAGCAGCAAGGCCAAGGAAAATGCAGGCAAGGGAAGGCAATGTTGCAAGGGGAAGAAATGTTATAAGACTTGGAAGCAATGCTCCAAGAGGTGGAGGCAGTGGAAGAGGAGGGGGCAATGTAAGAGGAGGTGGCAATGCAAGAGGAGGGGCCAATGCAAGAGGAGCAAGAGCTGCTGCTCCATGCCTCTACAACTTGCTATTTGGAGCAGATGGATCCACAATACACGAACCAACACTTTTAGCCAAAATGCACCAGGAGCTAGCCAAAATCCTTATCTCTATGATGAAGGATGGCCTGATGATCTACATGACTTTTTGTCTCTCTAGTTTACATGAGATGCCTCTTTAGGTGATAGTTTGATGGAGTTCATGAATGAACCTTTTGGTTTGGTGATGCAGTTCATGAATGAACTTGTGGTCTCTAGTTTAGGACTTATTTAGATGATAATGTGATGACAGTAATGTCACTTTTGTTAAGGTTTGGTTTGTATGACTAAGAAACTACATATGTCAGTGTGAAGTACTTGGTTCTAAAATTTTCATGTCAATTATGGTCTATTTCTGTCAGTGTTAAATCCTTGTTCCATGTCTGTTATGTTACAGAACTTGGCCAAAAGCTTAATAAAACAACAGAAATGTTGTCCAATTTGGTCAAAAAAGTTGCTGCAATCCTATGCGCATTTTTTTTCTTCAAATTTCTCACAAAAATTGAAATTTATACACGGAATTATTCATAAGCATTGTATTAATCTGGGAAATTTCTCTTTCTGATGATCCATTTGAGAGAAAATTACAACTAAAAATCAAAAAAATGTCGCCTGTGGCTCGAACCCAGGACTTGATGGATGCAGCAGCCTGTGCATAGCCAGTGCGACAAGGACAAATTTCTAAACACGTAATCCATCTTTAGTTAGTTATAATGATATCTTTAGTTATAAGTCCATGTAAGGATCTTCAGTTTGTACTTCTTCAGTTTGTAAGAGAATGACAATCTTTAGTTTGTCATAACTAAGTTACTTCTGTGTTGCTAAATTTTCCATCAAATCTAAAGACTGCCAATGCAACTGATATCTTAAGTATTGTTCAAACTGCCAATCCAACTAAAATCATCATTTCACTACAAAATAGAGCAACAACACCAAATTCAGATTGCATTCAGCACCATCCAACCTAAAATTTCCAGCTACTTCGCGACTAATGCAAAGACAATGGCGCACAAGCCTAGGCATATGGCTACTACAAACACTAGCATCCTATCTCTAAACATCAATGTTTCATTGTTAATCCTTGCAATCATCTTCTTTTCCATCTTATGCTTCTCCCTCTCAGCCTGCATTTCTGCAACTTTTTCTTCAACCATTTCTACAACAACTTTTTCTTCCTTTCCAGCTCAAAAATAACACTCCTCAAATCATGCACAAGTAATGCACACATGAATACACTTATGCACTGCCAGATTGAATTTAGTTGTTCTTAGTCCTACTTTACCTCATTCTGCCATCCCAAAAACCTACTGCCTTTGTTTGCAACAAAACGAGGTGGATCTAGTGAACATTCCAGCAGCTCCTACTCCTCCTAACAATGAATTATTTATGAGAAAAAACAAGGTAACAAATCGTAGATGAACCAGATAGATCTATTACCTCATAATTGTTCTTCGATCCCCAACGCAGCAGTCATCTGCTCCGCAACGGGGGCAATCCCCCGAGGCCGTTACTCCACGTCATCAATTTGGACAGCCGGTAGGGGACCTGCAGCAAGAATAGCGTCGGGCATGTAAGAAGATGATCATTGCGCACAAGACCAAACATTGGAGACCTCTCCGCACATCACACACCTAGTTGTTGGTCGCCTCCCGGTTGACGAGAAAGGCCAGCTGGTCGTCGTTGTGTAGGATGATTCATCTCTCTATGTATGCGACCTATTCTATCTATCTATGATAGTTTCAGACTTTCTGGTGTATGTAAGAGACATCTATGTATGAGAAAATAAAAATGCATATGAATTATGAAACTAAAGTAGTACATCTCAAATAAAGATAAAACACAGTGTTGGTGCATCATTGTACAGAAACTACATGAAGTCATCCTCACTATTCTCGCCAACATGGGGCTTCCAGAGGTCTTCTGTCTTCACACGGTTGCGACCACCTCTCTGAGCTTGCACTACCCTTGGATCTATTATGAGGTCTTTTGCTTGGCATAAAGTAGTCGTCATCATCTCTCTTCATATATATGCTTAGAGTTAGCGCCATCCTTCCCTAATGCAACTTGACCCTTGGATCTGTTCTGAGCTTGCTTGCTTGGCATAAAGTCATCATCGTCTACGCTCACTTTCTTTGAGGTTGCGGCACCCCTTGTTGATGCGACACTCTAGGAATGTCTTACAGAGTTGGCACCAGACATGGCTAGATAAATGGCTGCGGAAAGGTGTAGAACATAACATACCAAGGGGTGGTTTTATAGAGTTGTCAATGCAAGAGATAAGGCGGGGACAACGGGCTGGAAAATTTTCCAAGAAAAATGGGCTGGAAAAATTGGCAGGAAAGATAACGGCAGGAAGAAATTTGGTCGGAGAAAAGGGCACGAAAAAATAGCCAGGAAGAATTTATGGTGCGAATAAACAGGCAGGAAGAAAATGTCATATTTTATTTCAGAGCTACAGTTTTTGCATTATGACAAGGTACAACTAAAAATAAGATACATTGGACTTTTGAAATAAAGCTACATTGAACTACCAATAAAGATCCTTTAACTATTGAAATTAAGATACAAACGGTTGTGAAATTTAAGATACCACCATAGAAATCTACTGAGTCCAGCGTGTATATTTTCCTTTTCCATCACCAGCTTCTTCTGCTGTCTTGTCCTCACAAGCCCTTTCTTTGTTTCTCTATCTCTCCAGCTCACAAGCCTCATTTCGCTGTCGTTCCTGCTCCTCCATGCGACATGCCTCTTCCTGATTTTTCTTCAGTAAATCCTGAAATAAACCCTTTTGTTCGGCATAGTATTCTTTTAACTCTCTCTCTCTCTCTCTCTCTCTCTCTCTCTCTCTCTCTCTCTTGCTCTACTTTCTCCTCCGTTGCTGCCTTTTTGCGTCGCTCATGGAAACTAGCCCATGCACGGCGACTTCTTTCATGAATATCAGTCAGTGCCCAAGCTGGCATCTTCGTGACAATCCAACGATAGTACATGCACAGAGGCGGAGGAGACTATGACACGAATAAGAATGTTAATAATGAATCAACAAAAATACCAACAATATGTATATTCATGGTTAAAACATACCAAAAGCTTGTCGTACGGTGAACTAGCTACGGGTGGAGCTTCCTAATAATTGGCGCACATGAAAAACTTCATGCCCAACCAGTCAGAAAAATCCATCACCTCCTTCACCTTGCAAAGATCGCTCCACCAAGAACGCGGGACTTCCACCCCCGGGGGCAAACTCACACTCCTCATTTTCCTCGGCCTAATGCTTTGATCCGAGCAAGGCAAAACTCACAGCGACTAAAAAAAATGTGACACACTAAGCGCAGTGGCGATTTTAAGGGTGCTTAACGAAGGATGAAGAGTGGCTCAATGCCATGTTATATAGGCTCAAATGACAAATGCGATGGCGGGAAAATAGGGCGCAAAAGGACGGAAGTTTAGACGGGAATCACGCAGTGCTCCAGTACCAAACGCGCAGAGGAATCAATGCCATCTGAAATACGGCGATATTCAACAACTGACAGATGTAGGTGTTGTCGCGTCGCACAGAGCACGAACAGAGGGTGCAACCTCGCCCTTTGGCTGCATGGCCCACCGGAATCCTCCCGTTCCACCGTGGCTTAGGCGCAGACAATTAATCCTGTGATTCACAACCGACCGCCTGCGGTGGGCCGCCTCGGCCCGTGGCGGCACGGTGCAGCTGGTCTTTTCTGCCAATTTAACCCACCTGCCAAGTCTAATTGACAAAAAAGAACAGCTGTCGGCGGGTGGTTTTTTTGACAAAAAAAATGCATATACGGTGGTTGGAGAATGTTGTGCGTATTAGCATGAAAAAAGGAAGTGGCTAATCGAAATATAAAATTCAGTCATTTCAAACTTAGCTACTCCCTTAATCTTAACAGCTACTCCCTCCATTCCAAAATAGACGACCCAATTTTGTATTAAAGTTAGTATAAAATTGAGTCATCTAATTTGAAATGGAGGGAGTAGATTTAATCAGGTGGGGGTAACTGGGTGGTGGTAATCTGCCTATGTGCATTTGATGGATGGCTTTAAGAAGAAGAAAATGCTCACTCTTTTAGATCCAAAATAGACCATTACAATAACCATTCATATGACACGATTTAGAATATAAGGGGTATGGATTGCACGAAATTTGATCGAGAATGCATATACGCATGATTTTAAGCTGTCTCCATAATCCATATGATAGGTCCACATCGGCCAGCCACCATGCATGCGCATGCATGAATGTACACATGACAGTGATGATCACGCGAGCTTCGGCCGGAGGATGGCCCTGTGCTTTAGATGCTGCCGGAGGCGGTACCAGTCGTGGACGGCGTTGGGGACAAGACCGGCGAGGAACCACTGCAGCTGCTGGGACACGTCGGGCACGCAGAGCACGCCGTGGCCGATCCACCGCGCCGCGTCCCGGGCGTACGCGTCGGCGGTCGCCACGAACGCCGGGAATGTCATGGTCGCCTCTATTGCCGGCGACAGCATGCCGGTGTGCACGTAGAACGGGACCTGGCACTGCACGTCGATGCCCCTGTGCTTGTACTCCACGCTGAGGCACCGCGTCAGGTGCTGCACGTACCGTTTTGTGGCGCTGTAGACGGTGTAGAGCGGGAAGGAAGGCACGGCCACCGTGGACCCGGACCCGACGTTGACAATGGCGCCCCTTCCCCGCTCCAGCATCCCCGGCAGAACCGCCGCCGTCACCTCTGTGAGCGCCATCAAGTTCACCAGCACCATCCTTGCCAGCCGCTCCACGTCCGCCTCGTGCACGTACATCGCGCCGGGCCGATTCACGGCGGCGTTGTTCACCAGTAGCCCCACGTCCAGCCCCACTGTGGCCTCTTTGAGCTGCCGCATCGCCTCGTCGCCGGCGGCGGATCCGACGAGAGAGAGGTCGAACACTACGGTCTTGGTCTCCACTCCGGGGTGGGCCTCGTGGAGGGCAGCCGAGACGGATTGCAGGTTGGCCGCGTCGAGGTCGAGGAGGACGAGGCTGATGCCACGGCGGGCGAGCTCCATGGCCATGGATCGGCCTAGCCCTGTGGTTGGGCCGGTAACGACCGCCCACGAACCGTAGTGGCGGCGGAGGTCGATGGGCCGGCGGAGGCAGAGGGCGAGGTGGGCGAGGAGACGGATGCAGGCAGCGGACAGGTACAGGGCGCCGAGTCCGGCCAGGGAGATGAACCAGACCGGCACTGCCGCCGCCATGTCGCAGATAGCTCCGACCGCTCGGAATTAGTTTGCTACTCCATGCTGCCCCACTGACCCCTATATATGTCTTCTTCCCATCAACCCCAATCACCGTTATGGATCGTGTCCCGCAATCACACCAATCGACATTGGTGTTCTCTAGAATAACTGAATTAATGTGACAAGCAACTATTAGTCTATTACCTCCGTCCCACGAAACTCAAGGTGTCACCATCTGCCGTGCCCTACTCTTTCTCGTCGAAGTCCGGTACCTTTACAATGCTGGTGGATGTGAGATCGATGATGGATCTGTCTTGGGAAGAGCCGGTGACATCCGCCACAACGTGGTTTGCGACGCCCGGGGTGGCCGTGCACCACACGGGGCACCGGAGAATGCAACTCCGCCTCACCAACGTCCTTTGTGATGAGGGTTGTCGCCGCCTCCCACCCCCGTTGCCTCGTATAGCGGGCACGCCGCGCCGTATTTGTGTTGCCGGATGTCTTTGGGTTCTCCTTCCTCTCGGCGCGCCAACGAAACGGTTGCGCATCCGCCGGCGCGTTCGGATGCCAGACGGACCGCACCGCCTCCGGTGTGGCAGCGGTGACACACCCTCTGCCGGATCCATGCGTCATTTGGGGTGACGCAATGGATTCCAGGCGGAATGAGTCCGAGCGGTATCGTCAGGCGGGCTCCTCCCAGGAGCGGCGAAGCGGAAGACAGATGGTCATCTCCTCATCGGAGCCCCGTGGGATGAGTTCCGGGTCAATGGATCTGGAGGTGTAGGATTTGAATCTGCTGCCCGCCATGTCGGAGTGGGTAAAAGACCGTCGGACGGAAGCTTGTGTGTGGAGGGTGTGGACTGGAGGGGAGGAGAGTGGAGTGGAATGCGGCTGGGGTTTCGGTCGGAGCTGTGGATATGGCCAATTTATATGGGGTCGGGTGAACCATAGCGTGGGCTGGATCTAACGTAATGGGCACATCCGGATGTCCCTATATCTGTCTCAGATTTGGGCTGGATACGAAGAGTGTCAGTCAAATCCTATCGAGCGTGTATTTGGTTGGTCGAGGGTCATGTACAATACATACTAGTGTTTGGATGACAACATGTCTGTTACAAAATGCCATCCTGGGAAACTAGTACTCCAGGTGATCGGAAATTTAGGGCACACATGTGGATAATCTCATAGGTGCCGTCAATTTGGTTTGGACTCAATTAAGCCGATTAATAACGTGACGTCCAAATTGGCCTGAGTATGGACCAAGGCATCATTCTCAAAATGGCCAGCCGCAGACTGCAAGCTTTGGCTATATATATATATGTGTACGCAGGGCTTGTCAGGCTATAAATATAGACGGATGACACACGCAGAAAGAGAGAGCGAGAGAAGCGACGTGTGAGATGGTGTGCGTACGTGGAAGGTGGATTCTGACTCACTGAAGGCAGCTTGTAACCTCCAAGTGTTCACTTAAACCAACGTGGCAACGTCACATTTCAGTCTCGGTTGTTTCAAGAGGCAGAACAAGAAATTCTCGACTCTTCGCCAGGAAACACGAGGGCTGTGGATGTGGAAGGGGCGGCGTCAGGAAGAAAGAACATGTATGGACTCCGTTGGGGCATTGTGCACAGCCACACAGCTTGGGCACATACGCCACCTTTGCACCATGGGTCAAGAGAGTTTCTGTCACATTATTACACGCAAACGGAAAGGAAACAGACTGTAGTGTTACAACGTGACAGTACAGTTGCGCTTGGGAACAAATTTTCTCTCCGGAAATAGTAGCAACTCGCGTAGAGGTACCCCACAAAATCTTAATTCTCCTGTGTCTTGCCTCATCAAAACTTACTGCTATGTTTATCATCTATACCACTACTAGTAAGGTAGTCGTGCGTTGCAACCTAGGAACTTTTGATGACTAAAGTATGCACGCATACCAATATAGCTTCGGCACACTACATTAGGGCTTCTTCAACGCCAACCCTGAAATCGGACAAACATCTGTCTATGGATAGAGGGGCAGTGCACAGACACGGATGCGGGAGCCGGCTATCTAACGCTATCCCTTAAATTCCGCTAGCACGGTAAATTTAAAATTCTAATCCGTCTGAGAGTGTGACCACATAGCGTGAGCCGGATCACAACTGACAAAGTGGCAAGTATGCATAGTTTTACATGCCTGATGACAAAAGATTGCATTTACATGCCTTGCCGGACATGCGATACGAGCTTGTACGCTAAATCAATCATCGCTGCACCTGCCTCCTCCTCCGCGTCTCGGCCACCTCCTCCGCTGCTTTCAACTCTTCCTTGTGCCGCTTTAACATCTTGAAACGGATGGCTTGCACAATCGACCTTGCGTCGTTTGGTTCCGGTTTACGGGAAAAGGGCGGGAACAGGTGGAAAGCGGCGGGATGGAAGAGAAGAGTGGGGATTTTGCTGCGAAAACAGTGCGGGCAGCTACAAAAGCGCAGGCTCCGCCTCAATTGTGGGTGGGCCGGGGGTATTGGAGTCCTACATTGTTCATGTCGGACATGAATCCCACAAAGCCCCCCTCGTTTGGTTTCGATTTGTGGGAAAACAACTGCATGCAGACATAAACATGTGGTTTGGGGGTCGGCATTGGAGATGCCCTTATAAGAGAAAAACATGTAGTTTAGTATCATATGCATGCCGTAAACGTCGATTTAGTTCCTGTAGATTATAGCTACAAAAATATTGGAAGACTGCACGGTATAATTCTGTACAAAACTCATATGAAATATATCCATCACAATTGTCTTTAGGTACCTCGTATTGAAGTTTTGACTAGCTAGTATATTCAATCTTCAAAGACAAATGGAATTTATGAAGTTGTGTCATAGCCTTGAACATAACATAAAGTAAAAGTAAATGGCAATTCTTATAAGGAAAAAATGGGGATTAATGAGTAGAAGAGTCTAGAACATATGCGAAGTGTTTGTGATGAGGTTTGTGCATATTTATGCATTGTAAATCGTAAAGTAAGAAAAAGAATGATAATTCATTTAGAAAAAATTTTGGGGATAATTTTAGTATGGAAGATTACAGAACAAAAGGGGAGTCCTTAAGTTTTGTGGTTTGTGCATATTGTGGGCTCTAAATCACAAAATAAAAAAGAAGGGGGTTCATTTAGGAGATTTTTTTAGATAATAAAAGTGGAAGATTGTAGAACAAAGGAGAAGTGCTTGTGTTGTGATGTTTGGGCATTGTGATTGAACTCAACCATGGAATTTTCTAGATAATACACATCGCAAAATCCGGTGGAGTGAACATGATATCCAACGGCCAATAGTTTTGAATTTTCCACCTCTATACTGTAGGTTTTGCTTCATACAATGATTAATATTCAAAGTAAGAGAGGAGTTATTTGATGTGTAGTTGTGAAGTCTTTGCTCATTTTGGTCTTGGTGTCTAGCCCGGTGGTGATTGTTTGATCTTCTTGAGAGTTCTTATTTCATGCTAAATCCATGGAATTGCTATTGTGATGCTCACATGGGTCATCACACGAAGGTCTTGCTCGCTCAGTTTGGCTCCCTGCTCCTCTTGCTCATTTAGTTTTTTTTCTCTAACCCCATTGCTAGCTCAAAAAAATCACCTATATTTTTTATTTGAAAAGGCTAGAAAATTAAATAATGTTTTTGCAAATAAAAAACTATTTTTTTAAGGAACTTAAAAATACTATGAATTTTAAAACATAAATTTAAGAAACATTCATGAATTTAAAATATATTCATGGTTTAAAAAATGTTCGCAAAATAAAAAGTTTTCAAATTTAAAAAAATGTTCACAAACTTTAAATGACCGTGAACTTGAAAATATCCTCAAATTTAATGAATATTAAGGAATTTGAAGAATTTTAGAATATATTTATCTTTTTGAGGCACACAAATTTTAATAAGTGCTCATGAAGTAAAACATGAAACAAATTAAAAAATAAAAAGAGGAAACAAAATAAAACTAAACAACACACACTTACGTGTGGGGCCTAGTGACCCCACAACCCTCGAAGCACCATAACGCTTCAATTCGAGGGACGAGACTTGCCCGCGCCCATCTGTGCTCCTGCGTACGTGGCTTGATTTGATTGGAACAAAATAAGGCCCG